AGAAAATTGGCTGACATTAAGTGGCTCGTCAAATTCTGAGGAACTTTAGGAACTCTGACATTTAACTTTTTTTTTTAATATACACAATTTTTGAAATATACTCTTCAAATGTGGGGGAAATTAAAGTATGTGGGATTATTATATTTATGTTTTAAATCTTGTGTTGACACATTTATGAGTCTGTGTGTCTTGCAGCATGAAAAGGGCTCTTGTGACATGCTAGACCACATGCTGAAACAGAAGTATCTTAAACCAGCGATCCCTGAAGAAGACATGGAAGTAGACAGAAGACTACAGGAATCTAAAGAGCAGGAGGCAAGTTCACCTCATTATGTTTTCCAGAAGTCGGATAAGATACTGTATGAATATAAGATAAGAGAAGACAATGCATCTCATGCTTAGTATTTTATCTGGGTTAAGTTCAGCTAGTTTAATAACCCTGATAAAGACTGTTAGGATGTTGTATACAGTATATGTCCACAGAAAATTGGCTGACATTAAGTCACTCGTCAAATTCTGAGGAACTTTAGGAACTCTGACATTTAAAGTGTTTCTTACATACACACGTTTTGAGATCTACTCTGCAAATGTTGGCTGTGCTATTTGTGTAGTTCCCTGTCTTCTTGCAATAATTACACACAGTTTTTGTCTCGTCTGTTATCTTCTCACATCTTTAATTTTCTGTCTTGGGGAAGCTAAAATGCTTCCACACCTCTGATTTAAAAAAGGGTGGTGCGTCCTCAATTTCAAAATCTTGCTCTACAGCTGCTGACGCTCACGATATTATTGCGATTCATTTTTCAGAGTACCGATGTGAATCTTGACACTCATGAATCGACTTATCACGATTTTACAATTAATCTTTACATCCCTAACTGTAAATATACAGGAACAGAGTAAGCTTGAACAAGTGATGATGGAGAAACACAATCTGAACCCTGAAGATGTGAAAATCATTAAGGAGAAGATTGCTGAACAGGAATCTAAAGAGCAGGAGGCAAGTTCACCTCATTATGTTTTTCAGAAGTCGGATAAGATACTGTATGAATATAAGATAAGAGAAGATAATGCATCTCATGCTTAGTATTATATCTGGGTTAAGTTCAGCTAGTTTAATAACCCTGATAAAGACTGTTAGGATGTTGTATACAGTATATGTCCACAGAAAATTGGCTGACTTTAAGTCACTCGTCAAATTCTGAGGAACTTTAGGAACTCGACTTTTAAAGTGTTTCTTACATACACACGTTTTGAGATCTACTCTGCAAATGTTGGTTGTGCTATTTGTGTAGTTCCCTGTCTTCTTGCAATATTTACACACATTTTTTGTCTCGTCTGTTATCTTCTCACATCTTTTATCTTCTCACAAATTAAAGTATGTGGGATGATTATATTTATGTTTAAAATCTTGTGTTGATACATTTATGATTGTGTGTATTGCAACATGAAAAGGGCTCTTGTGACGGTCTTAACCACCAGCTGAAACCGAGTGATCTTGAACAAATGATGAAGGAGAAGTATGGACTTGAACCTGAAGATGTGAAAAACATTAAGGTGATGATTGCTGAACAGGAATCTAAAGAGCAGAAGGCAAGTTCACCTCATTATGTTTTTCAGAAGTCGGATAAGATACTGTATGAATATAAGATAAGAGAAGATAATGCATCTCATGCTTAGTATTATATCTGGGTTAAGTTCAGCTAGTTTTATAACCCTGATAAAGCTGTTAGGATGTTGTATACAGTATATGTCACAGAAAATTGGCTGACTTTAAGTCACTCGTCAAATTCTGAGGAACTTTAGGAACTCTGACTTTTAAAGTGTTTCTTACATACACACGTTTTGAGATCTACTCTGCAAATGTTGGTTGTGCTATTTGTGTAGTTCCCTGTCTTCTTGCAATATTTACACACAGTTTTTGTCTCGTCTGTTATCTTCTCACATCTTTAATTTTCTGTCTTGGGGAAGCTAAAATGCTTCCACACCTCTGATTTAAAAGAGGGTGGTGCGTCCTCAATTTGAAAATCTTGCTCTACAGCTGCTGACGCTCACGATATTATTGCGATTCATTTTTCAGAGTACCGATGTGAATCTTGACACCTTTGAATCAATTTATCACGATTTTACAATTAATCTACATCCCTAACTGTAAATATTACAGGAACAGAGTAAGCTTGAACAAGTGATGATGAAGAAACACAACCTGAACTCTGTAGGTGTGAAAAACATTCAGGAGATCATTGCTGAAGGCAAGAAGGCAAGTTCACCTCATTATATTTTTCAGAAGTCGGATAAGATACTGTATGAATATAAGATAAGAGAAGATAAAACTTTATTCATCCCACAACAGGCAGCAAAGAGCAAGGATAGCCAAAAAAAAGCACACAGTGCACAATTCAATAAAAAATAGATCAAAAAAGTTGCGGAGCCAAAGGAGTGTGAATGCTGTCTTCACATGTCTGACATTAAGTCGCTCATCAAATTTAAGGAACTTTAGGAACTCTGACATTTTTTTTTTTTTACATACAGAAGTTTTGAGATATAATTTTCAAATGTGGGGGAAATTAAAGTATGTGGGATTATTGTATTTATGTTTTAAATCTTGTGTTGACACATTGTTAGGTTGACGTCCCTGTTCGTTGACGCCACTGTTAGGTGGGGGTTGTTTCTATAGTAGATGAACAATGATGAAATCATGAAACAGATTGTGGATCATCTTAGATTTATTCAGCCATGGTCAGACAACATAGAAACACAACACACATGGCTGACAAAGTGCGGACCATCGCTGACCCATGCTGACCAAGATCTCACAATCATTGGCAATCATTGACAAACATTGGCCATCATGGCAAAGTGGCAAAGTCTTCATCTTCACAGTGTTGCTTATATTCTGCTAGAAGGTACATCCTACAAATTCCTGCTGCTTCTACATCTCTAAAAGGCTAGAAAGAAGACATCACCTTGACTCTTAAATATCAGACATATACATTTCTTCAGTCTCAGAGTCACATTTCCTTTTCAGCTCACAACAGACACTTGGCTCCAATCCAAATATAACTCTGCTACTATGAGGTCTCTTACACATGTATTTCAGCTTCACAAACCTAAAAGAAGAATTACTCTGATATGGTTGACACAATTTAAAGATATATCCACAAAATGATCAAGATGAATGAATTCATGAAAATACGTACTAACACACATTTATGAGTCTGTGTGTCTTGCAGTATGAGACTCTCAAAGACTTGATGAGGCAGTATGGACTGACCCGTGAAGAAGACATAACATTCATTAAGGAGATGATTGCTGGACCTCTACAGGAATCTGAAGGCAAGAAGGCAAATTCACCTCATTATATTTTTCAGAAGTCGGAAAAGATACTGTATGAATATAAGATAGAAAGATAAAACTTTATTCATCCCACAAGGGCAGCAAAGAGCAAGGATAGCCAAAAAGAGCACACAGTGCACAATTCAATAAAAAAATTCAAAATAGATTTAAAAAGTTGAGCTAAAATAGTGTGATTGCTGTGTTCACATATGTATGAACAAACCGGGCTATGGTTTCAGAACAACTTTTCCAAACTACCCAGGTGTGAAAAAACCCTTAGAGAGAAAACGGAGTTGCAGTATCACCTCCAAAAAACTCTGTGCTTAGTATTATATCTGGGTTAAGTTCAGCTAGTTTAATAACCCTGATAAAGCCTGTTAGGATGTTGTATACAGTATATGTCCACAGAAAATTGGCTGACTTTAAGTCACTCGTCAATTCTGAGGAACTTTAGAACTCTGACTTTTAAAGTGTTTCTTACATACACACGTTTTGAGATCTACTCTGCAAATGTTGGTTGTGCTATTTGTGTAGTTCCCTGTCTTCTTGCAATATTACACACAGTTTTTGTCTCGTCTGTTATCTTCTCACATCTTTAATTTTCTGTCTTGGGAAGCTAAAATGCTTCCACACCTCTGATTTAAAAGAGGGTGGTGCGTCCTCAATTTGAAAATCTTGCTCTACAGCTGCTGACGCTCACGATATTATGCGATTCATTTTTCAGAGTACCGATGTGAATCTTGACACCTTTGAATCGATTTATCACGATTTCACAATTAATCTCTCTATCCCTAACTGTAAATATTACAGAACAGAGACGCTTGAAAAAGAGATGAAGAAAGAAATACAAACTGAACCCTGAAGATGTGAAAAACATTCTCTGTACGGACATTTACTAAATGGAAATGTTGTTAATATGTAAAAGAATAAAGAAAGTTAAAAAAGAAAGAAAAGGCAATTCACACCATCTGTGCATAAATAGGTCTGTGTCCTCAACAGCAATGTCACTAATGTCACTATTTTGTAACATCTCCTCAGTATAAAGGCGGACAAGAAGAGTCCTTTTTTTTAATCGTTAAAAAAAAAGTTTTCATCTGCCTAGAACTCCATTTGAAATTGAACCTGCTGTTTATTTTGTCATGCTTTTGCTTGTACACAGTTTATTGTGTTCATATTTTAGCTTTATCTCTGTTTTGTGGAATGGTCCTACATATTTTTCTATGCAGTGTAAATTCATTGACAACAACATACGTGTCAATAAAACTGGTCCTGATTCGCTTTGTGTCGTCATCCCTGCAGTGCCTACAAAGGCGCCCAAAAGAAAATTCCTTCCTCTATGAAATTGTGTCCAACAAAAAAAACGGCGTTGATGTGGACAAGTTTGACTACTTGGCCAGGTCAGGTTTTAATGAAGTGCTGTAGAGCAATTCATTTTGTGATGAAGACCACTACAGCACTTCTTTTTTTTTTACCTTGAAACAATGCATTATTCTCCTGATTATTTTAAATTATAGGCTACAAAACTCTCCAGTAAATTCAGTTTCACTTTATACACCTATTTTCTTCACCTTGCCTCAATCTGCCTCTACTCAGGGACTCTTCCTACCTGGGATCAAGAACAACTTTGACTTTCATCGCTTCCTGCAGTTTGCCAGAGTGTTGAGGTTGATGCAGGAAAACTATCTGCACCAGAGACAAGGTGCTGACACACTTGAGCTTGTAAACAGATAATTGAAAGCAAACTGATAATGTTTATTTATGACTAAACTGCAAGTCCTAACCTCAACAGGAGGAAGACCATATGTACGACTTGTTCTATACAAGACACCGTCTCCACAAAAGAGCCTGTCAGCACAGAGTAAGCCACATCATACAAGAAATGTAAGTGTCTACCTTCAGAAGTTATACTCCAAATATAAGATTGTCTCCTTCTGATTTCCATTATTCAATCTGCATCATGATTCACTATTCATCAGTAATAATATGTTTGACATGAACATACAGGATTGCAGAGGCTTTTTGAAAGCAGACGGTCACATTCAGATTGAAGATCAGGAGGGAGGATGTTCACTCTCTCTACAGCCAATGAGACATGGAGGCCTACACAAAGCTCACAGGTGTGTAGATTTAAATGTGTG